CGGAAGAGCAAACCATATACCACTGGCAGCACTGGAATGTGTCTTAAATAAATCAGGGCAGTTGAGATCCAACTGAGAAAACGAAGGTTTAGAAGTATCTTTTATAATAAAGGTAGAGCAAGATGTGATGAGAGTCCCGGCAGTGTTTGTGTGAAGCTTGGTAGGAGCCAGGATGCAGGTCCACGCCTGGCCCTTTGCAGCTTGGGGGTGGAGCGGGTTTCCACTGTGTTCCACACTCTGGTCCTTCAGCTCGCAGACGTCGTGCGGATGTGGCTTCTCACATGGGGAGTGAGAGTCATGACAGTGTCAGCTGTCATTCAGTCACTCAGCAATTTCCAAGGGAATGCTGACCAGGATTTTGTGTGTTATGGGGGCTAAACTCATGCCACGTTAAGTTCTGCAACTGGCTTTGCTTTTCTGTTATTAAAATCCTTTCAATTATGAGAGTACTGTATTTCAAATACCCCAAACAGTACAAAGATAGATTTTTTTTTTCACCCCCCCCCAAAGTACCACTGTGCACAGCTTGGTAAATTTCTTTCTCTTTTGCCCCTGTCCCCCCGCCCCATGTATTAACTGTTTTTTTCTAGACTGGTGACATCTTTAAAATCTTGTTTAAATCTTTTTCACTGGTCTCTGGGTTAATATGAACCGCGTGCGGGGCATCTAAACAGTGCACCCCTAAGTCCCGGGACAGTCTCAGTGGTAATGCAGTGAGATTCTAGAATCTTGTGGTTCTTCATGACGCCGACCATGGTGGCGTTACCTGAATTCAGTCTAGCAGCACACCAGCATTTTATCAGACAGTGGGAATCCAGAGAAAACGTTTCTGAAGATGCTGAGGGGGGAGCCTCAGGGTTAAGATGGTAGGTGGAGATAACCACACAGAAATTACCTGACAAAGAGGAAAAATCTAGTAGAAAGAAGTGGGGACATAGCAGCCGGATAAGGAAAGGGCAGAACTCATTCACTGCGCTTCACAGTAGGCAGCAGGGGCCGCGGAGCAGCCTGGAGCCAGCAGAAGGCCCCTTGCTGCGTGGCCAGGCACAACCAGCCCCAGACCTCCCCGTACCCAAGTCTGGGAGAAGTAAACCGAGTAGGAGCTCTTCCCTCCTCCCCCTTTGGATGGAGGAGTGGTGAGGTCTGCTGCAGGGTAGAAACCGGGGAAACGAGAAAAATGGAAGAACAGGACTCACTTTTTGCGATATCAGTGAAAGCTCCGGGTGTGTGTTCATGTAAGAAGACTGTCCGTGGGGGGCGTGCGGTGAGCATCAGCTCCAAGAGGTGCCGGACACCAGCACCCCAGGGGAGAGTTGGGGCTCGGGGTGTCTGAGGGGGGCGCTCCCTCCACTCGCTTCTCTCCTGAGACTCTGGAAGTGGGCCAGAGCACCAATAGCTGGCTCTCCAGTGGTTTCAGACTTAAATGAGAACCAAAACTATATATTAAGAACATGACTGTATAATTGTGGAATTATAACTTAGTTACTAACACATAAGTTAGAACTTTAAGGAATGATTAGCTAGAAATGTAATCACTGTCCTAGAGGAAAGGCTTGAGACAGTCATAGAGATTGTGTCCGAAAGACAAGCGTTAAAACAATTAAGGGCAAGCGAACAGGTGCGGAGGACAGATGAGGATGATCCCAATACCAGAATGACTGGGACCTGCAAATGCAAAGACAAGTTATGAGATTATTTCCCTGAAAAGGAGAAACAAACCTGAATCTGCAACTCGAAAGAGTGCATATGGTATTTTAGGAACATCTGTCCTAGGAAGCTTGGTGCCAAGGCATAGCCCGGTTAAACTGTTGAACTTGGAACAAAATCTTTGGCCATCCGTTGTCTGGACATCAGGGAGAAGAGGTGAAAGGCTGATGGCCCGGCAGGTGTGGGAGTGGCCTTTGCAGAGATGGGAAGCCCTGGAGGAGGGCCAGTGGGGGTGAGGGGACGCAGGGCTCTGTTCTGGACAGGAGTTTAGGTGCTTTTTGGTCCAGGTGGAGTTGTCAGGCAGGCAGTGTCTCTTTGAGGATCCTACAGTCTGGAGCGGGGAGGTGAGGCTGGAGATAGTGAGAAGGTAGTGACACACGACACGACTATAGTCCAGGCATTGCGGGCACAGAACAGGGGCACCTCGGGCGAGACTTGAGCTTCCTAGGGTTGCTGACACTGGAACTGAGGCTTGAAGGGTGAGTAGGCGGGCCAGACAAAGAAGCAGGATAATTTTTGTGTGAAAGGGCCTTACATGTTCCCCCCTGGAGCGCCACCCACAGCTCTTGTCACACTCACTCTTTCAGAGCGTCTGTGGAAGCTCCTCCTCCAAAGGCTTTTCGGTCCTAGAGCTTCATACGTGGTGTGTTGACAACACCCACGCATTACTTGACCCTTTTCTCGTTTTTAAAGCTGCTCTGTGGACTTTGTGTCGTGGAGGAGTCACGGGAGCTGGGCTGAGTTGCCGTGAGGAAGGTAACAGGACACGCGTTCATAAACTGAGCAGTTAGGTCTTCTCTCTCCAATTCTTCTGCAGGATAAGGAGCCCCGTGGAATTATCCCATTAGAGAACCTGAGTATCCGGGAGGTGGAAGACTCCAAAAAGCCAGTGAGTATTTTTTGGCGAGATGCTTTGGGGGGACAGAAGGGATGGGCGTAGCGGCTGTCTGATACAGGAAGAAGTTGCAGAGGTTTACTGTTGACCCCCCCGGACGACAAAGTTGGGGCTGTGTGGGTCCCCTGACACGTGGACTGTTCTCAGTGGTAACTCCTACGGTAGAGTGCCATCTGTGCTTGGTTGGCTAAGTCCGCGGGTGCTGAGGCACTGCTGTACGGACGGAGGCCGACTGTCAGTCTTACGTGGATTCTTAATTGCGCGGAAGGCCAGCACCACCCCCACCCCCGCCTTACTCAGGGGTCAGCTGTACTTGAGAAAAACCCCAAAAGTACTCATATGACTTAATTTAAGTTAGCCTAACTTTTAAAATTCCCTTTACAGTTCAAGCCAAAGGTGAGACTAAATAACCTCTTTCATTCTGTCCATCAGCTTCAGTGTCATTTACTGAATATCACACGAGGTATAGAATTGTCCCTCCTTAAAAGGCAGCATCAAGCTCTCTTGATTGGACCACTTATTTTATGATCTTCAGATCGCTTATAAATACTTTTCCTCTGTTTTGGAATATCGTATTGCTGGCTTGGCTTTAAAAGGCATTAAGTTACCTGCAGTTCACTCCATATTTTCTATATATTAGGAGTAGAGCTAACGTGTATCATCTGCTCGATATCTTTGCTAATAAAACCTATTTGTATACAATCTACATTCTCCAGAATTCCACTTCTAGGCTCCTCTTTTCCAAAGGAAAACATATGTTGGCTATATTTTATGAAGGTGAGAATAAAGAAAGAAATTAACTTTTTTTTTTTTGGAAATAAAAATTTACTTTTTGGGAAATTAACTTTTTTCTTGGTCAGCAGCTTTCTTAGATCTTTGTCACTCTCTCCCTCTCTTTCTTAATTCTCAGAACTGCTTTGAGCTTTACATCCCCGACAATAAAGACCAAGTGATTAAGGCCTGTAAGACGGAGGCTGACGGGCGAGTGGTGGAGGGGAACCACACGGTGTACCGCATCTCAGCCCCAACCCCTGAGGAGAAGGAAGACTGGATCAAGTGCATCAAGTAGGTGGCAGGTGAAGCTGGAGACCTCGCCTCTCAGATAGTGACGCTCCAGCTGTCCCGTGGGCTGCCCATCCCGCCTCTGCGCCCCGTGTGCTGAATCCTTGGCGAGTACTTAGACTGTGATTCCCCGGTGACTTTTCCCTGGGTGTCTGGATTCTTGACCATTGAGCGTTTTTAAGAGTGCGCCTCACATCTAGGTTTCTCAAGTGCAGCTCATGGCCCCAAAGAGGGGACAGGTGGGCGGGCTTACAGGCATAGGTGCCACTGGCCAGACTGGCCTTTCCACGTCTTAGGAAGTGGGTTTCGTCCTCATGGTGGCAGCTCAGCGGGGATTGTAACCGTTCCCTTTTATAATTTCTTAATCCTGTGAGGCACTCTTGTCCCATTTACAGATGGGCAGACTGAGGCCCATAGAGGGTAAGTAATGAATGCTCGTCAAAGTCACGTGGCCGTGATCTGGGGTTGCGAGGCAGAGCCTCACATACTCCCTGCTGAGCTGTGAGGAAGTGGCGGTTCTGGGGTAAGGGAGGTGTGCACGGATCCTGGGGTCCAGGGCTCCTCCTGGCCCTTGCTGCACCTGTTTCACGGGGGAGGTGTCCTGCCCCAGCAGCTCCTCCTCCCCACGGCTTCTGTGAACCCTGCCCCGCCCGCCATCACACCCGCTGCCCATCACCACACCTGTCTTGCCCCTGGGAGTGCATCCTCACTCTCCCCGCCAGCGCTGTGCCCATCAGACATGGCCCAGCCGTTTCCTTAGGGTGTCCCCATTACTGAGCCTCGAGGCTTCCCCTGGAGACTAGTGAGGCCGCACTGACCGGCGCCCAAGGCCCTGTGGGTCCTGCGTCGCCCCGAGTGACGGGCCTTCTCCCACCGGGGCCGCAGCCTGCTCCTGAGGGGCTGGGCATGCTCTAGTTTTTGTGGTGTTTTTGGCACCTCTACTAAAACAAGTGTAGTGTTTGGGCCAGGGTAAAATAGTGAATAAACGGCTGAAGGGGGGCGAGGTGATGTGGGGGGAAGGAGCAGGTCGTTTATTCCCACACAAAGAGCCTCTGAAAGTTGTGCGGTTCAGATGGGCGGGACAGGAGAGCAGCGGTTC